CTCCCAAGCTGCTCTGGCACTAGAAATAAGTTCTCCACTTCTTCCTGTTCTCCTCCCTGCTCCTCTCAGCTGCAGGTGATGTCATCTCCAGGCTTTCCCCGCGGTCGATCGACAGTCCTCTTCTCAGCCCCCCCGTTGGATCACATGTGACTAATTAAGACTTTTTGCCTGAAGGATTGAGTGTGCATGAGTGAGTGTGTGTGTGGATTTGTTTTAGTTTATTGTGAGGACCTACTGTCCACCAAATGTCTTTTTTTAACTAACTGTACAAGAGTTTACACTAACACAGATTGTGTAATGTTATCTGTATATAGTGTTTGTTGATGTATATGTGTGTATATGAATATATATGTATATGTGAATTGTTATATTATGTGTATCGTGTTCTTTATTCTAACTCACACTCCCCTGTACTGAGCTGCAGTAATGTGCAAATTTCCCCACTGTGGGAATAAAGTTTTATCTTATCTTATTGTTRTTGACGTCCGTTATGATGAAGTGGGCGGTCTTCTGAAGAGAATGATGTCACATGCAAAGGGTCAATACCTCGGTATCAAAAAATGATGATGATGATGATGATATATATAAATATTATGACGGTATGAGTCACATGAGGTGAAGTGTCAAATTTCCACAAGGCTGCAATGAAAGCTGAATAAACATCTCAGAAGACGCTCCATGTTCTGTTCTGATCACCTCAGCTCGTTGGCTGCATGGGCTGTGGTAGTCCTGACAGACAGCTTCATGGACCAACCAGCTACAGGTTACAGGTCCAGCAAACAGTGGGACTCCTTTCAGATTTAAACTTTTGATGAATGTTTTTTTTTCCAACCCGTGACCTCGCACTGCACAATGAGTGCAAACTTTATCAACACAAAGACTTTTCTCGCTAAAAACTGAGTTGTTTCAATACATTTTTCTTGCAGGTTCCAATGATGATGACAACATCTCACCTTGCCACAATGAACTGGTGGTGTGCAAACATGTACACACCTTTATTAATTTATTGCATGCCACAATCTTCACGGGGGAGCAGATGGTTCTATTGGGAGGGCYGGCTGCCCCCGTTGGATGGCAGTGAAAACTCTGCACTGTGATTGAAAATGGGCCATCGTCTACAATTAAGATTTTGGCATAAATGCAACTCTATCCAGTACCTAGCAGTTCTCTGTATTACACTTACAGATTCTTGTTACATACAACACAGAAG